AGCGAATCTCGCGCCTGGCGCCGCCGAGCGGCTTTCCGCACCCCCGAACCCGTGCGACGTGCCCGACGTCGCGACGCTTCGTCAGAGGCACCGTCTAGGACCTCTTCGCGCGTCCTGAGCTTCCTGGAGCTGCCGCTGCCGCGGCGCCGGCGGGACCGCGCCGCAAGCACCGCCACAGGAGGAGTGCGTCGATTCCGACCGTTCGCGTGCGCCGCCCCCGACAGCGTTTCACGGACGGATTTTTGCGTCGGGCGGCCTCTCTATGACCATGCGAGGCTAGGCGCGGGGCAAGGGCTACAGGGTCGGCGGCCAGGCCGCGAACGACGCGCCAAGCCGAGCTCGCGGATCTAGGTCCAAATCAGCCCCAGATCCGCGAGGATTGGCCGGGGCTGAAGCGAGGGTGAGCGGCAAGCCACGAGGTTGAACACCTTGTTACCGCACGGTGCCGATACGGCAGCCCACGCTGCACCGATGCACCCCAAGCGTTTCATCAGGCCCTCTCGATAATATGGACGCTTGCAATAAGCCATGAGCGGCCGGCCCGGCGCGCTGCCGCCGCTGCCGCCGCAGGGCAGCGCCGCGGCCAGTTCGCTCGAGAAGCGGCTCCTCGAGCGCGTGCTCGTCCTCGAGGCGGGCCTCAGGGCGCAGGACGTGGGCTGCGACGCCCTGGGCCTCGGGCCCCTCGACGACGTCGTGCGGAGCAGCGGGGGCGCCGCCGCCTGGTCCCACCTCGAGGAGCGGCGCGCCGTCTGCGACGCCGCCGCCGGGGAGGGCGACCTCGCGGAGCTCGGCGCGAAGGTCTCGCGCGCGAACAGCGCGCCGCGTCCGCCGCAGCCAAGCGGAACGAGACGAACGAGCGCCAAGTACGGCCGCGCGGGCTCGCCGGGCCCGCCGCGGGGTAACCGGCCCAAGCCGCCCCTGGGCAAGTTCGCCACGAGCCCCCGGCTCGGGCAGCCCCGGCAGGAGCCGCCGCCGAAGCGGGGCGCGGCGACGCAGCGCTACGGCCCCGCGAACGGCTACAAGAAGCCCGGCACGCGCTTCGGCGGGCCCGGCGGCCGCGCGGGCTCGCCGCCGCGGGCGACGCGCGCGGGCTCGCCCCCCAAGAGCCGCGAGCGCCCGGGCCGGAGCCGGTCGCCCAAGGTGCCGCGCCGGGGCTCGCCCGAATCCGTCGACGAGGTGCCCGAGGAGCTGGCGGAAGACCCGCCGAAGCCGACGCTGGCGCCCGCGGAGGAAGTCCTCGAGGAGGAGGAGGAGGACCCCAAGGACGACGGCGACGCGGACGTGGCGGCCCGGGCCGCGGACGGCGCGCTCGCGTTGCTCCACGCCGAGGCCTACGACGCCGCGGCCGCGCGCGCGACACGTACGGCCGCGGACGCCGTCGAGGGCGCGGCCATGGCCCTGGCCCTCGCCGCCGCGGCGCGCAACGCCGCCGTCGCGGGGCTCAAGGTCTTCGCGGACGGCGAGCAGCTCGCGGAGCAGCGCCGCGCGGACCGGGAGCGGGACTCGAATCTTCCACCCGACTTCAATTTGAATGTTTCGACGCAACGTGTTCTGATCTCCGGAGAGAACTCGACGAGAGCCATCGATTCGTCCAAAAATCAGCCGCATCGACGTCGATGTGACCGAGCTCGAGAGTTCCGAAGTTTGGCCCCGACGTCACCGGTCGATGTCCACGCAGGCGCGGACCAGGAGCGCGACGAGCTCGCGCGCAAGGCGAAGCTGCGCCAGAGCCAGGTCGCGCGCGAGGAGGCGCGGAAGCTGCGCGCGGCCATGGACGCGGACGCGCGGATGGCCATGTCCGTGGCCAATAAAGCCGCGCTCGCGATGGCGCGGCGCAACGCGGCGACGCGGTGGGACGCGGCGTGCGACGCGACGGACCGATGCGCCGCGGGCTGCCACGCGCACGCCGGGACGCACCGGTCGGCCGTGGACCGGAACCGGGAGCGGCTCCTGGCCGTCGTCTCCGCGGACGCCGCGGCGGAGCGGTCGTACCTCGCGACGCTCAGCTCCGCGAACGAGTGCTCCGCCGCGTCGCGCGTCGCCGTCCAGACCTACCTGCGGGACATCGCGGGCGAGCGGCGCCGCGCCGTCGACGACGCCGTCGCGGCGGCGAACGAGTCCGCGGCGACGGCCTTCGCGGCGACGACGGAGGCGACGACGAAGACGTACTTCGTGCGGAAGCGGTTCTTCGACGACGTCGTCCTCGACGCCGAGCAGGCGGCCTACGAGGCCTGGGACGCGTCGCGCAACGCCGCGGCCCGGGCCTGGGACGCGCGGGGCCGCGCCGAGGGCAAGCAGGCCGCCGCGCGGCGCGCGGAGATTTTGCGGGCCAAGGAGATCGCGCACCAGCACGAGGACGCGGCGACGCACGCCGTCGAGTTCGCCGCCATGGCCCTCGGCGCCGCGAAAGCGGCCGCGGCGGGGGCCCGGGACGGCGCGTGGCTCGCGGCGACGGCCGCGGTCTGCGAGGACTTTGCGGAATTGGTCGTCGTCGAGGAGTGCGAGGTCCTGGGCTACCAGGAGGGCAACTCGGGCACGGCGGAGCGCGGCGCGTCCCTCGCCCTCGTCCACGAGGTCGTCGACGAGTTCGTGGGCTCGGCGACGCGGCGCGAGGCCGCCGTCGACGGCGTCGCGCGCGACCAGGGCCTGTCGCTCGTCACGAACGTCGTCAAGCAGCTCGGCATGGAGGTCATCGAGGAGGAGATGGACGCGTGGCTCGCGGAGCTCGTGGTCATGAAGCAGGACGCGGAGCTCGTCGCCGCGCGCGCGCGGTGCCTCGAGGACGACCGCGCCGCCGCGAACGCCGCCGCGAACGCCGCGGCTCTAGAAGCGCGGCTCGCGGCCAAGGAGGCGGAGTACCTGGCCATCGTCGAGGCGGCGCACCGCGACGCCGTCGCCATCGGCCGCGACATCTACGACCGCAACAACCGCCACGCGTCCGTCGTCGGCTGGTCGTCCGCGATCCGCTCTTCGCCGTGTCGAATTCAAATCTTCAACCCGACTTCAATGTGAGCGAAGGCGACAGTTGTGACGCAACATCTTCGGATGTGCTTCGAGAACCCGACGAGAGCAATCGATTCGTCCAAAAATCAGCCGAATCGACTTCGATGTGACCGAGCTAGAGATTTCTGAAGTTTGGGCCCGACGTCCCAGCTCACTGGTTGATTTCCACACAGGCGCGTCGCTCCGCGCCGACGACGAGGCCCACGACCTCCACGACTTCCTCCACTCCCACGAGGCGGAGGAACGCTCCAAGGCCCAGCGCCACTACGACGCCCTCGACGACACGCTCAAGCGCGCGCGGCGCCGCTTCCCGCCCGCGCTCGTCGCGGAGCTCGAGGCGATGACGGCCGACTACGAGGCCGCGCGCGCGGAGCTCGCGGGCGTCGCCGGGGACCGCGACGCGCTCGCGGCGCGCATCGAGGACCTCGACGGCTGCTGGGCGGCGACGGCGGCGACGCTCGCGGCGGCGGCGGGCGACCTGCGGGGCTGCCGGGGCGACGTCGCGCGCGAGCGGGCGGAGCGCGCCGCCGCGGAGCGCGCGACGGGCGGCGCCGCGCAGCGCGCGGCCGCGGCCGAGGAGGAGGTCAAGGAGGCCCTGGAGCTCGCGGACCTGGCCCAGGCGCGCTGCGAGGAGGCCACGAAGGCGCTGAACCTCACGAAGAGGTACCGCGAGCGCGACATCAAGGAGTTCCGATCCGCGTACGCCGCGGGATCCAACTACGCGTCGGGCCTCGACGCGGCGAACGCGGCCATGGCCGCGGCGCGGCGGCGCATCGACTACCTCGCCATGTTCGCGCCGCCCGACGACGAGTCCTACTCGCGGTCCTACGCGCTCTTCCAGACCTACGAGAGCCCGCGCGCGCCGCCGCGGCTCCGGCCCGCGAAGATGCCCGGCCTGCCCGGGTCGCGGTCGCCGCACCGCCGCGTCAAGCCCGGCGCCAAGGTCCGAGCGCTGCTCCGCAAGGACCAGCGCAGCCGGAGCCCGCCGCCGCGGCTCCGGCCGCGCCCCCCCGCGGTCAGGGTCGGCCGCGCGTCCGAGCACTGGCCCCACGCCGGCGAGCGCCTCGACGCCAAGTCCGCGCCGCCGGGCCTCGCGAGCCAGCTCGCCAGGGCCCAGCGCACCGCGCAGCAGCGCGCGCTGCCGCCCGTGGACTACCGCAACGGCCGCAAGCTCCTCGGCCCCGCGGCGCGCCCCGCCGCCGACCGGGCCAAGGAGATCCAGCGGCGCGCGATACGCCACTAACTCTCCTCGTTACTGACGTGCGTGGAGCGGAGCGGTCCGCGGCGCGCGGGCGCGCGCGCGCGGGCCGCCGGCGCCGCGGCGGGTCGGCCAGGTCGCCGCGCGCGCGGACGCGCGATGCACGCCGGCGCCCGGCCGCGCCGTCGGCGCCTACGGCGCGTGCTCCTTGATGGCCGACAGGTCCTTCTTTCGGTCGAGCGTGTGAATGATGAGCAAGCCCCAGCAGGCGATGATGATCGTCGCCGCGACGGCGTT